AAGTCAGAAGCTAATTTCACACGAAACTTATGTGGAAGTATGTTGTTGAAAAAGCAGATATTAAACATATCTTGAAATATGAGTCAGGCACACAAGAGCAATAAAGCAAGTCTTTAATTCATGGAAGACTTCTAGATTCCTTTTTCTATTTTATATTTTCATATTGTCAGCGAAAAGAAATCGAAACTGAAGGTGATGGTATAACTACCATCATACGTTACTATCTGCACTAAGTTCTATTTAAGTTTCTGATTAATATCGTAGAAACTTAAATTTTGAAGGAAAAACTATGTTTTTCAGTTTTACAACCTAGCGAGACTAAAAGTAATTGATTTTTACTTTCTACGAATCTATGATCAATATTTGAGGGATTTTGGAACCACTGTTCCTATTTCGAAGAAGTTTCTGAAATCGCAACATGAGAGACACAAACATTTATTGTATAAATATTATTAAAAATCCCTTCTTTTATGTTTGGAAATATTTTATACATAAATATATATAATTTGGAGAGTTATTAGAAACATTAATTGAAAACCCCGTCTCTAAAATTTTAAATGTACTTGTTTGTTTCCTAATTTAAACAAAAAAAAAAAAAAACAGTTAGAACTTGTTTCAAATATTACTTTAACAGTAATCTGAAAAGAATGATTTTTAATGCCGTATATTATTAAGTGACTTAATTATCGTTATATTATTCTTAGAAATGCTTCTCTACAATTCTTTCAAGTCACGCCATTTTAAAATAATTGCATGCTTTCGGTTGGAAATTAAATTTGGTTTGTTCACATTTGTGATGTGTTATTAACCTTTTAGCAAAAGTGAAACTTATTAAACATGCTGGAATGCCATTCGGTCAACAAAAATTTAAAATTTTTAGAATTTTAAGAACATACTCATCGCCGTTTAATTAAATTATTTACTACATTAATTGGCGCCTCTGGTTATTCACGCATGGTGGAAAACCACAGAAACGAATAAAACCGCAGAAAATATTGCTCAGGCATGACTAAGAGTTCGCCAACAATGACCAAAAGTTGCAGACTCCTGAATTATATATAGTATATATTTATTATTTAGCAGCTCTTTAACAAATACCGGCAGAATTATATTGTGTGTACCAGGAACCAAGAAAACAGTCAAAGAATTTGTGCGAGAAACGGATCTGTGGCCATGCGTTTAAAGCCAAGTTCATTTACCCAGTCGAATTGTCGAAGCGTTTCCATTGTGGTCCACAAAGAGTGTTGTTCGATTCTGAATACGTGTATGAGAGTCTAAGAATGTTTTGTGCAGATTGGCTTTTTATCGGCGTTTATTGTATAATTGGCTTATGCGAAATGAGTGTGGCAATAATTCATGCAAAATGCTTGGGCAGTCAGTCACAAGTGGAGCCCCTTTATGGCACCACTATTAACCGTTTATGGGTGGGCATTAAACAGAAACCAGAACCAGCATCAAAAGCCGAGCTTCAAAGTGTTAAATGGTAAATGGTAAACGTGTTGTGGGCATTAAAATCTTTTCAAATGTTTTCATGCAATTGTCCACATAAAATTGTTCATAGAGACTTACGAAATTGTTTCGATTACCAGGAAAACATTCGCAAACATTCAGAAAAACCAGCTGAAGCTGAAGTCATCGAGAATTTCAGCTATTCCGTTTGATGAGTCAGAACGGGACGCTTAGTTTAATGCAACAATCGAGTTGGGGCCGCAGGCCAACTATTCGGAATAACTTATAACACACTCTCACATTCAACAAATAGATTTATGCTAAACAATCTTTTAATAGTCGCAATCAGCGCGCCCCTTAGGGCCTTCCCCTGGACGCGTGGCATATGTCAGTGGTTGGATCGGCTTCGTCGCCAGTAAGTCTGCAAAAGCAACAATTTACAACGGAGCCCACGGGGTATCTTTTCGTTCGAAATTCATGAAAATTATTAATGAAGTTGACATTGGTTGTTTTTGAAAAACGAATATATTGGTAATTAAAACTGTGTGTTTGGCTTTCATTGCATTTCGTTTCGTGGAATTATTGCTGTGTGCTTTTTCCACTCCTCTTTTGAATGAATTAAGAATGGATTTCAATTCAATATTTGAATATATCTTGGGGAGTCCGCAAACCGGCAGATTCACAAAGCCGCGACAACACGACGAGCGTCACAAACTCAAAATCTAAACTGTTTTGCATTTTTGATTATATGCAAAAATGTGTGTTGTTTGTTTTAAAGTTGAGCTGCGAGAAATACAGACGATGAAAAAGCAGATGAAGACAAAAAAAAAAAATCACATCTTGGACCAACGTCAATATAAAGATGCTAGAGCTGAAGTAGAAACAGAATCGAACCAACTCGATGGTGAATGTTGTTGATTTTAGTTGTTTGTGGTTGGTTGTTGCCATTGTTGTTGTTTATTTTTTGTTGTGTATTAAACTGCCTTGCTCTACAGCAGCACTGCTGCTGCTTCTGTTCAAGTACCAGGCAGACCGCTCTCTGATACGTTGTTATTGTATTCAACTGGAGTGGCTCTGCTACGTCTTTCTGATTCTCTGATATTCGATGGTAACTGGTAGTGTCAGGTAATCTTCCTCTAAACAGCTGATTATAATGACTACGCGAATCTTTTAAGCACAAATTCAGAGATACACGTTTACGAGTATACGTGTATCTATTGGAAGTAAACCAAAACTACACACCCATGCAGACATAAGACTTAGGCGGCCGCTCACTTGTCTCACTTAAAAGGTGATAACAAGATGCTTGACAAATATTTGTTGTACCGCATAATACAGAAAGACGAACAAAAACACCAACAACAAGAGGATCGAGAAACGCCACGGAATTTCGTGTCGGCTACTGAAGCTTAATTTTGGGCTTGATTAATCCACTGGATGTCTGGGCAAAGGCACTGAACCATCAAACGAAGCAACTTTCAACTAAATTGTAACAAATTTTGCGCGCAATTGCTTCACGCACATAAAATACAAGTACAAATATATACATAAATAAATATGTATATATGTATACTTCCACATACATACATACATACATACATGTAGGAATGTAGAAAAGAACTTGATTTTTAATTTGACTGACACTTGATTCAACGATTTTGTTTTATTGAATTTGCTTTATTAAAAATTATAGTTATAACAAAAAATATTGCAACAAATAAATCGTTATAAACATTAAACGAAACTTCCACTATTATCGAGTAAATTTTTACTTGTATAGCTAAAAAAAATTGCGATTGTTGCTTTCATTGTTATATTTCGCAGCCCAATATGTTATTCGAAGACGTAACCAGTTATGAACATATCTATTATAATGAACAATTTTTAGTAGACTGCTGGAGAACTTGTATTTTACATTTTTTTTTCCTCACTTGTGGGTTGAATTTTCACAGCTTATAAAACAAAGTGATTCTTTGAAACCATTTACAAATTAAATTGTTTCCAAATTTTTTCTATACAACAGATTTTGATTCTTAATTTTACAATTTAGTTGCTCGTCTTATACCGAAAGTCGAAAGTGTTTCTCGGGAAGGGGAATCATTAACTTTAAAAGCGACTGCATTGAAACGCAAGCAAAATATGTATCAATTACAAATCCGATCAGATATATCATATTTGTACATCAATACATTAGACGTACGTAGGCGTAACTGACAGCCTATGTACGCATTCATATATCTACATACAAGTATATAAGTATATTTTCATGCATTAAGCACCACTGTGCGCACCTATTTTAATTCCAGCTGATTATTCTTATTCCTATTTATTGTTCTTCTGACATTTGATGTAGAACTTTGGCAATGCATTTGGACACTAAATGCTTTCATTAAAATGCCAGATTTGAGATGTTTGAATAAAAACGTATAAGAAATAAATTGAAACGTATTTTAACAAAAGCTGCCTAATCAGGTAGAAAAAAAAAAAACGTCTATACATATGTAGATTCTGCTGAAATAGACTTTTAAAGATTGCTGGCTGGGTCATCTTCACAGCTAATAATTACGATTAGGATCAGCTGACGTCAAAGGGGCGTGTAAGCGCACTTTTTGGCCCCAACAATAAGCGAACGACCGACTTAGCAGAAAGAATAACAAAACATAATTTGGATTTTCCAAATCGAATCGAATCGAATCGAATTGTATCTAAGCACTGAAACGGATCTTGCAAACGCACACTGAGTGCGCCCACGGGGTGCCAAGAACACGCCCACGTTGTAGGCAGGCAGTTCGGCCCTTGTGAAATCACTGAACGGCCTCCCAGTTGGCAACCACCTGGTCGGCCGGCCCTAAATCTCAAGCAATTTAAAAATCGATTAAGGGAACAACATTTACAGTACAATTTACGAGAGTTTGAGTTTGCGGATTGTTGAATTATTGGCCTGGGGGTTGGCAGGCCCCCAAGATAACATAAAGCACAAAAAAGGGCACATCGTGCCAATCTAGGCGCGTGTATGGCTATTTTTAGAACTGCCAAATTGAACGAAAGTAGGCGCAAGCACATCATCAAAGCGGCAACATCAAATCAAATCAAAGCGAACAGCTGGGAAAAAGTTGCGCGGCATCTTCATCAATCGATCAGCAAACTTGTATAAATATAGCACACACTCAAGAGGTACAGAAAAAAGCGAGCAGAAGTGCAAAAAAAAACTTATTAAAATGTTTAAAAACGAAACAAAATGAATGCTGAAATGTATGCAAAATCCGGCAAGCAGCAAGAAAGTCGTTCCGAGCAACAGCAACAAACACACAAAAACGTTTGCGCATTGAAGCAAACAACCTGTCGACGCGACGCTACGTGACGCTGACGTCTGCGTCGGCAGAAGCAGCAACGGCCGCAGCGACTCAAGTTGGCCAACAAGCTTAGAGTCAGAGTTGGCGTGCGTTCGTGCATTGCTTCAGTCTGATTCTTGACGCTGTATAGATCGGTTCTGATCTTCGCGTGCCGCACATTACCCCCAAACTTGGTCACAATAAAAAGTTTACAAAATTAACGCTCAATATAAACAGCAGCTGCCAGCCAGCTGAGTGTTAGTTAGCCAGGCCAAGAAGCAAAAAGTGCATAGCAAAACAAAAAAAAAAACAAATTGTTGAAATAACAACATTAAATTTCAAATCGAGACTGACAATTTTCAACACCTGATTGACTTGTGATATTAATTAGTTAATTAAATAATTCAAAAAAAAAAGTGTGATAAAATTAAATTAATTTCAAGAATTAATAAACGCATACCAAAGTAAGTAAAACAAAAAAAAAAAGAAGCTGCAACTACTTGTGTTGTATTTTAAACTAAAGAAAAAATAAAAATAAATGAAAATTCAAACAGAAAAAAACTGGCCGAACAGCTTGTTAACAAAAAGTTGTGGCTGCGCTGATAAGACTTCCGCATGCCTCAACAATTTTTACACAAAATTCTTTCAACACACACAGAGACACCCACAGTATAATCAAAAGCTTGTTCGTTTCGTTTGGTGTTTGTGTAACAAACAAAAGACTTAGGCAACAAACTTGTCCGAAAAATAACGATTGTTTTTATGTTTATTTCATTTAAGCCCACTAATTGAGTTCATTAGAAATTGCAACAATTAAATGTACAACAACAGCAAAGACAGTAACAAATGCTGCCACAAATTTGCAATTTAAAATAAAAATTCAAATGCTATTAAATTTAAACCAAACCAAAAAAAAAGAGAAAGGCAAGAAAAATGACATTATTATTGTTCTTGTTATAAGTTGCCCCTTTTAGCAGCAACAACAACTAGAATAAATAATAAATGAAGTCAGGCTTTTGCCTAAAAGCAGCCGTAGTCATAAATACATTTGTGTGAAACGAGTTGTTGCCGCTTTGTGCAAAAAAAAAAAAAAAAAAAAAACGGATTCAACACCACGTCCCCCAATTCCTCACTTTTGTCACCAAAGCTCGCGTGTTTAGGCAGCTTTTTTATGGATTGGAACACCAAAGTTTTAGTTGGCAGTTAATTTGTTTGTGGCATATTGCTAATGCTCTGCTTTTCTTTTTCTTCTATGACTTGTGTCTTTTTAGATGCACGACTATTGGCACATACCACGCGCCTCGCTCTCCTCCTCCACATCGTCGGCCATATCATCGGCGAGCTCTTCAAAGTCTTCCAATCGTAGTAACAAATCGCATTCAAATCCGCCAACGCTCTCGCAACGTGGCGCCGGCGCCGGGGCAGAGAACAGAGAAGCGGCGCCTGGAACGAATGCGGCAGTTACAGCTGCAGCTGCCGCTGCTGTGCTGGCGGCTGCTAAACGCGGTTCACGCTCCTCTCAGGGCTCCAGTGACAGCAACAACAGCACGCGGGTGAGTAAGCGCGCCCACACATACACGCACACAACGTTTGACTCATTCTTTAATTAAATTTACAGAGCGCCGCTTCCGGCTCACTGCTACTAACAGCAGCGAATTTGGAACGCTTTGCCGAGATACACAAGAAGCAGGAACGCCAGCACAAAATGCTAATGAACGAACTGCCGGACGTGCATGGCAACAACTATAACAGTAATCTGACTCTTGCACACAACAACAACAGCAATAGCAGTGGCAACAACAAGGACGCCGTCATACCTATCGACCCGAATCTGAATTTCATCAAAACCAAAGACCTCGACACGGTGTCCATTGCCAGCTCCATGCATTTCACAATGGTCAATGGAGAGGGGGGTGCCACAAAGAAGCCCAAACGTGGACTCTGCGATCGTGGCCGGCAGGTGACGGTGCTGATTGTTAGCATGAGCACAATTTTCTTGTTGCTCATTATGGGCATGGTCTATGCGCTAGAGAGTGAGTATTAACAGCCTAACATAGATCGAACATGTTAACTAACAGTGCAATGTTACATTTCGTTTCGTTTACAGTGCGTGCGCGTGACATGCCGAAAAGTTAACAGCGCTGCGAGTAGGCAGACAAAGATGGGCAGTCCTTTATGGGGCGTTGTCGTCGCAATCGTTTAGCTTAAGCATTTATTTATTTTGCAAAATGTTTTTGTCAATTATTGTTATGCATCTGTAATTGTCTTTGAGCTAGTTTTAATTTATTTATTAAATTTGTTTCAGTCAGTTTTCGTGAAATTCGTGAAAAGCAAAAGCTACACAATAGCAACAATAGCAAAAATATAGGCGTGCACCTCGCCCTTGGCCGCTTGTATTAAGCAATTGCAATACATATATTTATATTTATAATTAGCTGTTTATTACCATTAATTATGTATGACAGTCACGCACACGTTGTAAACCATTTTACATTTAACAAGATAACTGAAGCAGAAAAACCAACAACAACATCATCAATATCAACAACAACAACAAAATCTTGGCTACGACATTAAGCAACGAGCACATTTCTAGATCACAACTTTGGCGGTTGCAAATCTTCGCTTCAAACACAACAATCTACTATTTAAGAAAGAAATCGAAATACTAGCAAATCCCGCAAAGAAATACCCATAAATGTATGCATGTTTGTAGATAGATGTAGCTTGTATATCTTGCATTAGTGGAGTAGCACAGTAATTGTCTACATTATGTATTTTCTGGCATAAATTAAGCTATTTATCCCTGTGATATGTTTAATAAAGAGAATTTAAAGTTTTATCGAATTGTGTTTTCAACTGAGGGGAAAACTTGGCTATCAGACAACTCAATTAGTATCAGGAAATTTTATAATTTTCTTACCGTGGAGCAATACTTATGAATGGAGTAGAAGCTTTGGAATACAAATATCATAGATTTTATCAAATTACTTTAATAGCAGATGCCTTAAAAACCTATTAATGGAATTTAACAATTTTGTGACCTAATTACAAAATTGTTAAAAACGGTGTCATTTCAGTAGAGTTTATTGTGTCCGAAACATTGGATGGTCGTGATCGAATACATATTGTAAGATCGTTATAAAACAAATCCTCAGTTCTCAAAAAACGCTCATGACAATCCATCAAAGAAAATGTTTGATTAATGCTAAAAGGGAAATGGATTTCAGGGAGAATATTTAAAAAATAATAAGCCCGTTTTCAACGAAAAATTACTACTTTTTACACAAATAGGCACATAATATAAAAATTCTTCTCTCAATAAAGACAAAGAATGAAAACCAAACTTATAATGACTTCATAAGTATAACATCTGGAGGAGTGTAAATCTAAACCAGACATTAAAATTGAAAGTTCAAACATAAGTATTTTATCCATAAGTGGTAAGAATAGCAAGATTAGCTAGAAGTACGATATTGGTTCTTAGAATACATACTGTCATTTTAAGGTATGTATATGCTCAATAAATTACTTTTATGTACAGGTAGGTATTACAGCCTTCTTAATTAATCCATAATTATAAATCATAGATTTGTGGAAAATGTATCATGGCAATAAGATAATTTCAATTTCTGTAAAATGCCTATTCTCACTCTATTTTAAATAAAAATTTGAGCAGAAGCGAAATACACCTGCCGCCGTACAAATAGTCGCCCCTAGCAACAAAAACCAAGCGGAAGAAACAAAAGTCGACACCCCTCAACATAACAAGTTACATACGTTTGAGCACTTACCTCAACCTCCTGCAGTGTTTGTGTCCATATGTATTTGTCCAAAGTACAGCCATTACCGGCATTGGGCTGCAATTTGCCAACCTCACTCTTTTCGGATTCATCATCCACTTTCTCAATGGGTTTTGAAATATCTTCGTCGACTGCTGAAACTACTGTTGCATCGCCGGCAGCCCCATCCAGCAATGCCTGTCGTTTCCTAGAACAAATAGATAGGTTGGAAATATATTGGAGACTGGAGATCGGAGAACATGGTTACGCACTTGTCCTCCTGTTCTTTGATAATGGCAGCAGCTTCCTCGTCTGTTATATCACATATTTTATTCTCACTCATTTCCTTTTGGCGTGCAGTGCGTTCAGCACGTTCCTTCTCCTCCTTCAATTTCTTTGCCGCCTCACGCGCCCTCATCTTCTCATCATGATCGGCCATAGCCACTTTTGCCTCTTTACGGAACACATCCAGAACCATTTTTTCCCATTCGGACTGCTTGGCGCCCGTGAAGAAATCGGTTTTCCGGCGCAAGAAGCTTGCCAGCGTGTGCAGAAACTGTAAACAACGTGTAGCGGATTGCAAAATGTGATGATAAACGTGCGTCTTTGGTACTCACGTCAGGCACGCCTCCACGATGCTTTTCGGCCATTGCCAGCAGGATATTGTCGTATTGCTCTTCCACAGACATTTTAACAGCAGTTGTGGAAATATATTTGTTAAATTATTAGTGTTTATTCCAGAACGTTCAGACGAAACTCGTAGGCGCACAATGCCGGTGACAAACTAATATGACAAGCTATCGATAGTTGTCGACTACAGTTCGATATGTTTAAAACAATAGCTCGAGAGTACGAGTTTCGTAACAAGAAGCCTTAGACACGGCGCTGCACTATTGTAACGGCATGACATTTGTATTGCATACCATTCAGGGTGTAAAACTCAAAAGAACAATTTTATTTTGCAACAATTTTATTTAAAATGTTCTTTTAGGCAGTATTGCTCTCTATATATATTTTCCATAAATGGGTATCAATAAAAAATTTATATATGTATAAATATAACTACCAGTTTCAATAAATATAAAGCAGATGCTCAAGTGCATAGGGAGTTGGGTAGAAAGCTCGCGCCAATAAACGCTTTTCGCTCATTTTACATGTGTACTGCGACTTGAGTCCTCCGCTCTCTCAGTCTCGTTCGGTCTTCTGGAGGAATCAGACGTATTCTGAAAAAGCGGACTTTAGAGCAAAACACGAAGTAAAAGAAGTGTTAAGGCAAAGAAAATATATATCCGAATTAATTTCAAAGCTATATTTGTGAGCAATTAAAAATATAAAAATTGTGTAAAGTGATTTTCACATATAGAAATTGACATCTAGTGACAGTTTAACTGCAGCAGATTAAAACGCATGTGAAAAGTAATAAAAAATGTTTATCTCATTATTTTTAGTACAGTTAAATATAATCATTTATTTCTATACTTCGACACACAATCACTCACACCGATACATGATAAATATTTACAAAAGTTTAACCCACCATACAAGTGCAAAATAAGAAAAACAGCATGGAAAATTGTTAAGAATCGCTTACTTCGCAGGAGTTTGTGCTACCAACCGTGTGCTTTTTGTATGGGTGTGTGTGTATACGAAAAAATCGATAAATATTACATAGCAGCACACGCACACACACTCGTACTCGCTCAGAGATAGAATCATACACTGCTCACATTCCCGGTGAGCAGAAAGAAGTAGGAAACGAAGCATTCAGAACAGCCTCAACTTACAGTGCCGGGTATAAATAGGAGAACACTTAATGATTTCTATACACTACGTGCCTGTAAAGAAAGTGGTTGGCTATATTTCTATATCTATTATTTTATATTATTTAAGAATTTTTATTAAGTTTGATTGCAATCGAATATTGTAATATTTTTATTTAAATATTATATATTATTTATTTATAAATTTATTTTTCATATTTTAATATGGACATGAAAAATCTTACAACGAAATCAGGCTACAAAATTGATTTCATCAAACATATCCTTCGAGGTTTTTTCATTTATAATAAAATCAAATTAGCCACAGTTTTTTGTCCAGCAGTGTCATCGCAAGCTTTGCTTTTTCCCTGCCTGACGCAAGCCTCCCGCCATTGTCGTGGTCTTCCATGAAGTTCTGCGCTGTGCGTTTGGCTGCATGTGTGCGTATGTGTGTTTATGTATTTAGCAATGTTTATGCTGGCCCCTTGCCTGTTTGCTTTTTGTGCGCTTCATTTTATGCTTTTCTATTTTGTTCTCTGGCATCGCCACGCAACTTGTTTAACCGTTTATTGCCCCCTTCATCTCACGCGCGCACACGCACACACACACACACACACACACAATTTCTGCAGCTTCCTCTAGACAGTCGGTCCGCCAGCTGCTCTACTGCTCGGCTCACTCTTCCATGTTCATACGTATTATGCTCCGCTTCAAGGTCACAATAAGGTTAGCTCTGCGGCGGCGCTGCTCGGCAGCCCAACTTTGATGCTGCCTGCCCAATGAGCAAGGCGACTGTGAGCGAGAGTTCCGTAAATAAGCGATGTTCGGTTGTGTTTGTCCGTATCCTTGCTCGGACACTTTCTGTGTGTGGCTGTCCATTTTTAATTAAATCTGTGCGTTTGTTGTTTTTAGCTATGTCGCAGTCACAGCCTCCCACGACGCCTGCGACGCCTGCGGTGCGAACGTGACTTGGGCGATAAAAATATGCTTAGTGGGGGTGCGAGTGTGAGAGTGTTTGTCGTTTCTACGTCACTGGCGTTAAACCATGCTGCCCTTTGACATTTACGCGTTTGTTAGGTGTGGATATACACACATACATACATACTCACATCCATGCATATATAAATTTGTAGTCTATTCGAAGGAGTGTGTATTTCTGTATACTCTGCTCTTTACATAACAAAGTTACATAATCAGCAGCACTTTTCGCCCTGTTGTGCATTATTTCTAAACGTCTTTACAGACACTTTCGAGTGCACTTCAATTTAAAGGATTCGCTGCAACAAAAAGAGGCAACACTCGTCTTGCTATTGTTGTTTGCCGGTTACTGTCTGTGGGTTTGTGCGTATACATAGTCTTGTAACAATAAGTGCCATAAAGTCGGCTTCTTGTAGCCGATTAAGTTAACGACTTGTTTATCTTACGCTTTGGGCTGCAGGATTTAATATGGGGCTTTTTTCATTTCTATCTTTTTGTATGTGCTGTGTACCGAATGGATTTACCTAATTGTCAATGCAGATTTAGAAGGTTCCCAAGAAAAGACCCTAAATGTGTATGTAAAAGCTTTTTGTCTAATTGGCATCGTTTGTGCGTGATTAGCATGGGATCGCCCACAAATGATTCCTTAAGGGGCGGCTTCAATAGCTTTGTGGTACCTTTTATATACACACACATATACATATATCTCAGATACAAAGGTATCTAACTATAGCGTGTCTAAGCCACTTTTTCTTCAACAATTCCATTAGGATCTGCATGTAATGGCAATTTGTGAGGCATATTCAATGAGGAACGTGCTTCTACAACATAATGAAATAAAATGTACAAAATATCAATTTATTCAGTTTTCTTAAAAGCATGAAAAAGGTAAAGATATCTTAAAGTTTAGAGTACAGACAGCTTAGCCTTTTCTACTTAAATAAACAAAATGGAGAAACATAAAAAGTGAAACAACAATCGACAAAATTTAGCAAAATTATAATCAGGAAAGGCAAATTAATGGAATTAGCTGGATTACTTCTAAATAATACTCAGGGTTAACGGAATTTGGTTTAACTTCTTATATATGTATATGTACATAATTATTTCATTGTTTGAGATAAAGATTTTATTAAAACTTTTAAACCAGTTAATCCCTAGGCCATTAGGGCTAAATTCTCTTTTGAATCCCAGTTAATTTATGTGCTTCTGTTGAACTTAACTGTAATAAGAATTATTATATATACATTATATTATATATTCTTATTTCATGGCTTTATTTATATATGTATATATATTTATATTATGAATTTTTTTCTAAAAAAATTCCAGGGAATAACCCTTTTTGAACGTTTTCTAGAAGTGATTGATTCTATGTGATTGGTGCCTTATCTCTAAAGAAATATATATGAAATTTATAAATTTCCAACCGTGTTAAATCAAAATCGTGTAAAAACAGAATTATGTATCACAATGTGTCTGTTGGTAATAAAATCTTTTTGCGTGGCTGTCGAATGGCAGGCGCCTAAGCCGCAGAAATTTCCATAGTTGGGTGATTTTCTATCAGAAATATTCAGAATTGATTTATTCCGTTGTTGGAAATTGCGGAGAATTGCGTCGTACGACGAAGCTAGAAATTGTCGGTGATGCGGAAAAATCCGAGAGCATGAGAATTGAAATCGGTTATGAAATCGCACGGTGAATTAGTTCGCCAGGTTAATGGATGAATGAAAAAACGAATGAAAAAGCAACAATGTTATGATAATAAGATACTCTTATTGATTTTGTTGTTCTCTCCAAGCGAGGTGCATTCGCTTATAAGTAATATTATATTGATATACATATACAGAAATGTGTATATGTGTGTGTGCATGCATTACTCTTCGCGCTATTTTGCTGCACATAATGCGTCAGCAACGATTAAATTGCGGGCAACAATAATTGTTTTCTTTTGGGTGACGCTTGATCGATTCGATTCAAAGCAGACGGCCAGGGGATTAGCAAGCAAACTGATAAGCAGTCTCTGCTTTATTTTGCTTTATTGAGAAATTTTCCGTAAACGCACGAAATCAAATTACCCGACGTCGGACTGCAGACGATAGTTGAGCAAGGTGCACATAATATTATCGTCATCATCACCATCATGTGGTGTCGCGTCAGGAGGAAAACACAAAATAAATAGTTTAGAGGAAAAATTGTAAATTAATTTGTTGAAAGATGAGATGAGCCTTTTAATTTTCCGGGTCTGTCTACTGCATTCGATGTAATTGATTTTTCAAACAAAGTATGCATATGAAGACTGCGATTTATATTTTGAAAAAGGAGAGCAAAAATAAAGATATTCATCGAAAACGGGTTTATTGTCTTGCATAAACAATTTTTCCACTCAGAAGACAGTCTGAAGACAGTTAGAATACAAGATTTTTACAGGCTTCGACGGCTTTTCAAGAATCAGAAAGGGAGACCTCATATTTTTTTGTATCGGAATAACTCTCCTTTGTAAATTTGCTCATGTTGAGATGAAGAATGCCCCGACTTTGATGGTTGGCTTTACTTCAAAAACTAGTAGATAACAAATGGTTGTGTTTATAATTGACTGTGCTACGATTTTCTAATGACATCATTTAGGAATGTCTAGATTTTACGAATAAAATTTGCTTGGAATTGCTTCGATAGAGAACAATATACCTATGTTTTCAATTTTGTTTCTGTCTCCTTGACTTAGATCCAAGTTGCGTAAACGTGTTTTGAATCATGATTTTTGAGCACCAATCTCTGGATATTATAATGATTATGAACAACCTACCTCAAATTCCGATACGGAGGATTTTGATAAGCACGTCTATGGTGCGTCCGAACACTCCATAGATGGCACCACCATACACCACCCACCACCCTCTCCTGATGCGCAGTTGAGTCCGCCGACTGCTCTTACAACTTAACAAATATGGCAAGCAATTGCAAATAAGTAAACTGGAAACTAGAAACTGCGTTGTTTATTTACTGCAGTCGTCTAATTGGCGGGG